AAGAACTGGATAGCAAGAAGCCTGGGCCATTAGGCCAAACAGTTTAAAAAAAAAAAAAAAAAAAGAGTGCCTGCTGTGTAAGCGTGAAGAACTGAGCTCAAATCCTCAGAACCCAGGTTGGGTCACACATGTGCCTGTGACCCAGTCAAATGGGAAAGTGAAGACAGGGGACATGAGGGTAACCGGGATCTGCCGGCCAACAGCCTGGCTCCAGATTCAGTGAGACCCTGTCTAGAGGGAATAAGGCGGAAAACAGTAGAGTGGAATTCCTAATGTCATCCTCTGTCCTCTGCACATGCCTGGGTATGCATACAAACTCCTACACATAATAATACACACACACACACACACACCCCTGGGTGTGCATACACACTCCTACACATAATGATACACACACACACACACACATACACCTGGGTGTGCATACAAACTCCTACACATAATGATACACACACACACATACACCTGGGTGTGCATACAAACTCCTACACATAATGCATACATGCACGCACACACACACAATCTAAGCACACGAAAATGAAACTAAAATGGAGAAAAACTATATGTTCATGGGGAAAGACTATATGTTTCGGGGGTCTCTTTCTTATGAATGCATTATCAAGGGAAAGGATTCCAAAAAAAATCCAATTATATCACTGAAAGACTCAAATGGGGAGGAAAATAACCCCAGTTTGAAAGAGCAGGTGCAAAGCTCTGGTAATTAAGCCCTAATTCTAGAAAACAAGTATGACGGTATGTGTCCATGATTCCCAGACACGCAAACACATCTCAAAGTCATGCTGAAGAATGACATGCTGGCTCTCAGTTAAATTGTTACTCTAAGTGTGTCCATATCAGTGAGTAGAGAAATTAAAAACTACGCAAGTAGAGTGTGAAGGGAGAAAGTCAGATGTGTCTAACACCCCCAGGGTCCCTGAGACAGAAACAGTGTTGTGCTCACCTGAACAGAGCCACCACATTCTCATTAGTCGTCGCCACATCCTCCTCTGGAAGCATGCTCAAAATGGCAGCTTTCAAGAACACATATGTTGCCTTGAGGAAACACAGAGAAGGGGCTCACTAGAGGGCATGACATTTAACCTTGCAAACAGAAGTGACCTAGAAACCTTCTAGACCTCACGTTAAAAGGTATCAAGGTTAACAGTCTGTCTCAACGGGGTTCTAGCACTAAGAAGGGTAAGTGGATATGGGGCCCCACCCCTAACCAAGAACCTATTTGCAATTGATACCTGCTGGGAAAGAGCAAATCAGTTTTCTACAATGGAGTATCACTGGGTATACTGACCACACTCCAGGGCAGGAGGTAGCCCCATGCCTAGGAGTAACTGGCAAACGTAAAACAAACTCCATGTTTTTGGTTTTTGTCTGTTTGGTTGGTTTTTGTTTTGTTTTGTTTTGGTTGAATTTTTGTTTTGTTCTGAGATTTTTGTTTTATTGATCCTTTGTGTGTTTTGATTTTCATTTTTATGATTATGGGTTTGTCTTTTTAAAGAAAGGGGGAGAACATAAAGTAGGGTGGGCAGGGGGGATCTGGGAGGAGTTGAGGGAAGGGAAACATGATAAACGTACATTGTATAAATGAAGTTTTTAAATTAAAAAAAAATGAAACAAACACAGGCTTTAGCTCTCTGCTCTAGTGAAGTGCTGCAATGCTCTGATGGAGCTAATGGCATGGCTATAATCCCAGCACATGGGAAGCTTAGGCAGGAGGGTCACCTCAAATTCAAGGTCAACCCAGGATTCATAGTGAGTTCCAGGCTAGCCTTGGCTACAAAGTGAATTCTGTCTCAAAAGACCAAAACAAAAACAAAAGGAAAAGGAAAAATAGGTGCTCTAATACATGTGCACAATTGTCAAAACTGATTAAAAATGTCAGAAACTATTTAAAAAAGTGTGTTTCAGATGACAGCAACACTTTTCAGTTTCGTTCCCCCATGACAGGACTGTGCCATCACAGGTGGCGAGTGGCCGGAACAGACAAAAGATGAGCTCTATCTCCCAATGTCTCAAAAGGGGCTCAGAATTAACTTTAAACATCACCAAATTTGGTCACAGGGTACTAAAAGTCTACAAAAATCATTGATATGAAGGACTATAAACCTACATGCAGCTTATCCTGGCAGTAAGATGCCTTTGTTGGAGAGCACTTTGGGGGGATTTTTAAGCCTGGAATGCTGAGGACAGGCCTGTGATTACATACCAGCTATTCACTGCCCACTTCCTCCTCCTCCAGTCTCTAAATTGAGAAAAGTGTCCATGCACATTCTTGAAAACTCAATCTTAAATGACAAACCACTGTGGCCATGTAGCAAACAGAAGACACTGAGAAAAGCAGGACACTTTACCTTGGACCATTTACTCTCTTTGCAAAGTAGGTCTGAATAATAATACGCCTGCATCCAATTTTGTTGGTATATATAAATCCACATTAACTCCCAGTAACAGAGATGGTGAAACTGTTTCCACTCTTCTTGAACTGAAATGCATTTTCGAAACGTTTCTTGAGCCTATAAGTCAATTGCATAAAGCTCATCATCCAGACATTAGACAAGGATAATAACCTAATGGGAAAATACACAAAACACTTTGTACAGAAAGAACAGAATTAACACTCACTAAGCCACTCACTATGACACTATGTTCTCTTCCTCACATGTGATGGTACAGTTAGACTCTGCCATGTTACTTCAGTTTGTGAGGGAACCTTGTACTTTGTATCACAGGAATAGAAAAGCCCCTTTCCAAATGAGAAAGAAATGCCAATTCTTTCATAAAACACACACTATAATAGCATAAGAACCTCACTGGACAAAACATGCTTTAAATAAAATTCCAGGCACTGGGTAGGCAAAGAGAAGGCAGCCCACAAATCAGCAAAGGTTAAATGAGCCCTTATCAGAAAAACTGATAAAGATGTAACCAGGCAAATCAGAGAAAAGAATAAATAACCACTAAACATTCACTAACAAATTCACAAACTGCTTAACTGAATTTGAAACTTGGGCTAGGAAAGTAGCTGAGTGGCAAAACACTTGCCCGGAATACACAAGACCCTAGATTTGACAAACACAACAAATAATAAGAGTAATAATAAAATTAAGTCAAAAATTCTTTTTTTACATTCATCACATGGGCAAAAAAAAATGATAGAACAGAGACTTCCAGATCTGACAAAGAGCACTAGAAATACAGATGCTCATGTTTAAAGAGTTATTAATTTTTATGTGTATTTGTGAGTGCCCGCACCACGCAAGTATGTGCACCACACGCATGCTTGGTGTCTACAGAGACCAGAAAGGGGCGTCAGATCCCTTGGACCTAGAGTTATAGGCAGATATGAGCCACCGGATGTGGGTGCTGGGAACTGAACCTGCAAGAGCAGCAGGTGCTAACCACGGAGGCATCTCTCCGGTCTGTTTCTCATTTCTTTACAGAAGTTTATGTTGAAAGACTCTTAAGTATGAAAGGCAATTTGTCTGGATGACAAAGATGCAGGCGCCTTCTGACCCAGAATTCTGTGGGGATGTATCCGCACAGAAATGTACACGTGACAGTGGGCAGTGGCCAATCACAGTAAGTATAAATATCCATCTCATGAAAGGAAATACAGCCATCAGAATGAACAGACAGAGACTTAAGTATACTGACCTGGAGGAAGATCTAGGTTTAATATAAATAGAAAAAAACACTTGCTCTCATTTGTGTGGAAGGACATCACACACACACACACACACACACACACACACACACACACATTCTTCTCTTCTGCTTCAAGGGAATTAATCAACTAGTTCCTCTGACAAGGAACCAGAGCAGTTACATCATAGGTAAAAGAGAGGTTCCCAAATCAATGCAGAAATAGGTAATAGTCAAAGTTTTCTGAAACCCCTTAGATGGCCCATGTGTTATTTTACACATTCTTTTTAAAACTATGCTATACATTCTACCATGAACTATTTCACATACTTTATATATAAACATGAACTGAGGAAAGTTACTAAATATGACAACATCTATGTAGAAGGTAAAAGCTTAGTTCTTCAGAATAACATGATCTATTTATTTTTCTAGTCCACACAGACAGACTGACTTATGTTGAATGACGTGTGATGCCATCCCCCACATAGACACTGCCCCGGATAATCTTGCTATAATGACTACCTTCTCAACATTGCCCTTCAGCAGCTCGATTCGGGCATGATAGAACAGGATGAGCGAGCCCTGTGGAGAAAGGAAAGAGCACACTTCAGCAGACAATGGTGGCTGATGCGTCCTGGCCGAGACAGACACTGGAACAGTGAGCATACATTTGGGAACTGCTGCAGGAAGGGTGCGAGGAGACTCTCTGCTTCCACGACGTTCACTTCTCCTGTACCTAGAAAGTGAACAGACACGGCTTAGTGCTCACGAAACACGGCACATACTTACGACCAACTCCCCAAATGTCACTGACACGCAACCAACACTCACAGACAAGATGAAAGTGATTATTTTGCCTTTGTTTTCATCTGAGAAGTACATGATTTAAAGAGCTCCAGGGCACATAAACTCTTAAGAATGGAAGTGGCTATTTCAGATTCCCAGTGACTTTTCTACTTTTCAGGGCAATATTAACTTACTTCACTTCCAAATTTAACTTTATAAAAAAAAAAATTGCAAATCTAACATGAATGTGGTACAATTCAGCAGCCTAATTGATAAATCTTAATTGAGAATAGACTGTAACTCCAGGACCTGGGGATCCAATGCCCTCTTCTGGCCTCTGTGGTCACCAGGCCTTCACATGGTGCACAGACATACGTGCAGACAAACCACTCATACACATAAAATAAATACATACATAAATACAAGTAACTTTTAAAAATGTTCAGTGAGAACAAGCAGTCAAGTGTCTCGGCCAAAGATGACTATGACAAATCTCACTATCTTCCAACTCAATCAATCAGAAGCCCACAGGGACTCCCAGCTCTCACCGAGAATAAGGGAGATGTAGGTATGAAAAGCCAGGATGGTAAGGCAACAGAGCGGGGACCGCATGCTGGTTCCTGACGCACCTTCCCGTAGCTGCAGAAGGCCCAGGTCCTGTGGAGAACAAATGCATCACAGAAAGAGAAAAATCTGACTGAAAAAAGAGTACATTTAGAAAATTTCACATGTCATTCCTATGTCCTGCCCTCCGTGTACTTTAGGGTTTCATTTTAATAATGGTACTACTTAAACAGAAACAAACTCTACATTTTAAACTGGCAGAAGACAAACTGATGAATCCTTTTATAACTTTAGTTGTCCACATAACCCAGCCTGGAGTCACCTAAGAGGAAAGCTTACACTGAAGAACTGCCTAGTTCAGACTGGTCTGCTGGGGATCGTGCTGGATACAAAAAGAAAGCCCACTGTGGGCAGCACCAATCCCTAGGCAGGTGGTGTAGGGCCGTGTGAGAAAGCTAACTGAGCATGAGCCAATGAGCAAGCAATACAGCACGTCAGCAAACAGACTTCCCCACACTTCCTCCCTCCAGGTTCCTGCCTTCCCTCCACATTGGACTGCAGCCTGGAAGTGTAGGTGAAATGGACCTATCCCTCCCCTACACTGTATTTGGTCAGAGCAGCAGAGATCAAACTAATCTGTATCCATTAGTGATTCTAGAGAGAGGAATAAACTGCTCATTTCCAAGAAATACCGTATTTCTTTGATAAAATTAGCAATTCTGAGTGAGTGGGAACTTGTCTCAGTAGAGCCAGCCAGGGTTTCATCCTCAGCACCACAGAAAACCACACTGAGGTCCAAGCTTGGGCACTACGATGGGCAAGAACAAAGGATTCTATGCCTGTAGACCTGCCACCCAGTGGGGAGGGTGAGACAGGAACTCACTATCTATGGGAGTGAGCGCCATCAGAAAGATGAATAGATGATTCTGGAAGTTAGAAACACTTGAACCTCACTGGGAAAGTCTGAGGGAGCACTCTGTGAAAGAGATGGCATTTATCTCAAACTTAAGACACCAGGCACTCTTGAAAGAACATCATTGACAAAGCTGTTGGGGAAGAGAACTCTACAAGAGAGAAAAGCAGAAATTTCTGTCAAAATTAAGACAAAATGTTGTTTGTACCCTGTTTCCAGAAAATCCAATAAATTCTAGCAATCTGATAACTCTTGCTGGTAAAAGAGACAGCATCTGTAACAAAAAATAGAAACGCAAGTGTACTTTGCTGTTAAAAACTTTAATTATAGATAACCCAATGGTTAATCCTAAACTGGTTACAAGTTCAAAAGCTCCCATAAACCAAACCAAGTTTAAACTGACTGTAGCTCAGTGAGGAGACAAAGCCTGGCCCCCATGGTCCTCTAACTACTGCTTGGCTCTTCTTGTGTGGAAGGAAGTGACGTGAAAGGAACTGTGGGCGAGGCCGCCTTTGTGTTTTGCTTTGTTTTGTTGAGCTAGGGTCTCATGTGTAGCTTAAGCTGGACTTGAACTTCCGGCGACCTCCTGCCTCCCAAGTGCTGGATTACAGGCATGAGCCACCACCATTCCTGGGTTAGGCCAGATTCCCTTCAGCTTCTTTCTGGGAAGGACAAACCTAAGGTGATGTGGGTGATGTTCCAGCACTAATACAAGTAGGGAGCCACAACAGCTCAGCTCCTTCCTGGGACATCCATGAAGGACAGTGGGGAAGGGACAGTCTCCCAGAAATGGCCATATGTGTAGTGACATGCCAATTCATGGCTGTAGCCAATGGGTTGGGGCTAGATGGCCAGGGGCTTAGGAGGAAGGAAGAGGTTTGGGATATCTCTCTGAATGGGAGACGCTGTGTCCCAGGTGAATCATAAGGGTTTTAACAGCCACGCCAACAGAAGGGCAGTCTATCCAGTTGGAGACAAGTCATCCCGCTCCAACGATGACCAATGCACACGGGCTCATGAACATAGCCCTGGGGTCTATACGCTCCTAAACGTTATTCTTTTCACTACTCCATTTTCTAACCTGTTAAATCTTGTAAGATTTCCAAATCTCTAAATAACACATTGAATTCTGACAGTCTCACACAGACTCTGCATCTCCGCAGAGATCATAAACAACTGTTCCTCAAGTTATATCACCCCCCCCCATTTTCAACTCCAGAGCCACCGTTATGACAACTATGCAGAAACAGAACTAGATTCTAGGCTCCTTGTTACTAAAAAGCCTTCCTTATCAGTTCAATCAATGTGCTACACGCTTCCCCTGCCCTGTGCAATCTAAAGCTACTCTGAGCATGTGCAGAACTTTGTAGCATTCACAGCACAGGAAGACTGGTCTACTCCAGTGGCTCACAGCCAAACACAGGTAGAGGTTTGGGATGACGTTCAAATACAGAAGAGAGATACTGGACACTTGGTTTCGTCTACCAGAGGCTCTGGTTTTGATATAAATGTCTCCTTACCAAGTTAAAGGCCCCTGTTCCGAGCTTGACACCTCCTTCAAACTCATAGAAGAAGTGCTGTTCTTGTTTGTTCTTTTGAATCATGTGCAGGATGGAAAGGCACTCTCTGGGTTGGGGAAAAAGACAGAGCATCAGCTTCCTGTGACTCGAACAAATACATGTTAAATCCAGTTTTCTACTTGTATTGTTTACTATAAATATACAAATTGTATACTATAAATGCCATTACCTAAAATATTACAAAAATGCAAAATATGATTTTAAGCCCATCTGCTCCTAAAGCTACTGGGTAATTCCCACTAAGGAGAAAAGGAACACCCATTTTCACAATGTTTAAGAGAACAGTGTTTGTAAACATAAAGAAAAAGAGAGATCAACCATCAGCAAGCTCAACTTAGGAGCCACAGAATCTCAGGGCTTCAACCTCACAGCTTCCCCAGAGCGTTTTCCAGGAAGACTCCGGGAGTGTTTAGGTGGTGGTGGTGGTGGTGGTGCTGGTGCTGGTGCTGGTGCTGGTGGTGCTGGTGCTGGTGCTGGTGGTGCTGGAACCTAAGGCTCTCATACATTAGGAAAGTGCTACTAGCTACCTCCCCACACCTCAGATCATCTTCAAAAGACAATCAAAGGCATGCAACTGGTAACTGCTAACTGAACTGGGAAACAGCCTTTTGAGAAGGTGATGCAGGGGATGTGTCTCAGTGACAGGGCACCTGTATATCATCCTGAGGCCTCGCGTTCCATCCCCATGCCACAAAGAGCAACACAACAGTAAGGCATAACCAGTGTGTCCTATCACCAATGTAATGCAACGTGGGAAGCACACAGCTGCCCTTATGATGCGTGCTAGCCAATTCTTGGAAGCTCAGAGCTAACCTGGTTTTAAGCAGTATTAACTGACCAGAGAAACCAATTTGATTCAGATTCCTCCCAACTTATGACCATCCCACGCTGTCATCTGCCCTGAGCCACATTTATTTTCTTAAAAAAAAAAAAAAAAAAAACCACACCAGATAGACATGGTGGCACATGCTTGTAATCCTAGCACTCAGGAGGCTGAAACAGGAGGATTTCCATGAGTTCAAAGTCAGCCTGGGCTACAGTGTGAGTTCATACAGTGTATGGGCTACAGAGTGAGAGCCTGTCTCAAAACAGACAGAGGTTAAGGGGATATGACAAGTAAATGTGGATCCCAGGGTATACCCTAGAATAAGAGGAGCATTGAGACAGACACTGGAAAGGCAGCGGATGTCAGTTTAATAACTGAGCTGTGATTATGTACTATGTATTTGTGAACCTAAGTGAAAGGTCTATGAAAACCCTTTATAATGTCAAACCTCTCAAAGAAGAAACTTTTAAATAACTACATGTGTGTGTTTGTGTCTGCATGTGGGTGTGTTGCTGTGTGTATGGGTACCCAAGAAGACCAGAGGCATCGATCCCTTGGATCTGGAGTTACAGGCAGTTGTGAACCGCCTGATGTGGGTGCTAGGAACTGAACTTGGGTCCACTGCGTTGAGTAGTATGAACTCCTAGCAACTGAGTCATTCCAGCTCTAACAGTGTAACATTTTTATGAAAGTTTAAAAGCTGATTTTAAACTATAATTGAGCTTTTTATTTTGGAAGATAATTATATCTAAATCTGAATAGATATATGAAAATTATAAAATATTTCAAACTAGAAAATTTTCATGAAAGTTTAAAAGCTTTTTAATTTTTAAAATGTTTAGTGTGTGTGCACGTGCACATTTGTGCACACAACTGGCCTCTGATTGACTGGGACTGGATTCACAGGGATTTGTAAACCACCCAATGTGGGTACTGAGATCCAAACTTTGGTCCTGCAACAAATCAGTAAGTGCTCTTAACCTCTGAGGCACGCACACACACACACACAAGCCCTGTTTCAAAGCTCTGTCACTGCACTGATACAGGTGTCTTTGTTACCACAGGACTACTTAAATTTGTTTTTTAAAGTTTTGATAACTGGAAAAGCAATCAACTCTTTAATCTTCTAAAAAATACTTGGAAAGGAAATCTAAAAACATGATGCCAAGTTTCCCAAATCTGCTCCCTCTTGCATGATTTTTTTTTTTGATAGATTCCAGGTTTACATAATGACTACTGGTAAAAGCGCCTCCTGAAATACTGATTTGGGTTCTGCTTCTGGTAACGGGATTTGTTCCCAGTAATGGCAGGAAGCTTATGTGAGATTTGCTTTCCCACCCATAACAATTATAAACCCTGAAAAATACACACAAAAAAAGATATTTAAAATATTTTTGCAGACTTGGAAACCGAAGGTGGAGTAGGCAGAAACTGGAGAAGAGTTAAATTTGAAAGCAGGAAATGGCTCATGAATCAACTTTAAATCTCTGTGTCGATGTGCCTGAAAGCATGCCCCCCTCTTTACAGGGTGCACAGAACACCAGCAGTAAGCCTCAGACTCACTGGGTGAAAGGGCAGAGGCAGAGCTGGAGTCAGCGAGGTGGATGTAAGGGCATTTCCAAAGAGGAGAACGACGCCGATGGGAACACCAAGGCTACGTCCAAACAACGCTGCAAGTCTTGCTGAGCCATCAGCTCCGTGACTGGGGAAGGGTCCGAGAGGCAGCAGGGATGCAGAGGCAAAGAGTCTGGAGCCCGAGTCTAAGCAAACGAACTGCTTCCCAGAACAGAGCCTGGCCCACTTCAGAGAAAGGATGACAGAGTCCCGAGTCTCTACAGATACATCAGTATCTAGCATGCAATTTAAAAACCATTCCACAGGAAAACATGACATATAGTTAACAGAAAAAGCAGTGAAAAGAAACTGACTCCAAGATGACCCACATGTTGGGTCTAATCTAAACAAGAAAGTGGGTGTGGGCGTGTATGGAACTAGTGGACATAAGCAGCCTAACTAGTGTGCAATTAGAGGTTCAGAGGAAATAAGTGGGAAAACGTGCAGGAAAAAGTTTGGAAGAAATAATGGCCAGAAAAGCCTAAAACCACACTCCAACTGCTGAAATGCACAGATGCATTCTTCAGGGGACCAGAAGAAAGTGACACATTGGACAGGCGGACAATCACACAGGCAGCAGAGGTCTGAACAATACAAGCACTGATGATGCCACAGAGCGGTGGTCTTAAGGGACTGAGAAAACAAACACCCCAACAACCCAGAATACCTCAGTCAGCAAGAGTGTCCTGGAAGGACAAGTCCAGATAAGCTGATTTTCAAACACGTGAAAACAAGAAAAGTGTCGAACGTTGATACTACGAGAAATGCTAAAGAAGTTCATCCGCATACAAGTGAACAGAAACGACGCCAAATACAGTGGTGAGCAGAGCAGAGTAAGGCAAGGGACTTGAAAACAAAAAGTTGAGGCTGTATTATGAGTTCAATAATACACATACAGAACACATATAAGAATAGTTAAAAGGCTGCCCTATAAATGGTCAACTTGATACAGCCTAGAGTCACCTGAGAAGGGGGTCTCAATTATCAAAATTAGACGGGCCTGCCGGCACTACTAACTGCTTCAGGAAGATGCAGCCCGCGGTGGGCAGCATCATTCCCAGGGAAGGTCCCGGGCGGTGTAAGAGAGCTGAGCAGGAAGGAGCCTATGCTCAAGCCAGCAAGCAGGGCTTCTTCATGGTACCCACTTTAGGTTCCTGCTTGACTTCCCTCAATGATGGACTGTGTGTGGCCTGCGGTGTGAGCCACATAAGCCCTCTCTTCCCCTAAGTTCCTTTTGGTCTGAGTGTTTTACCACAGCAACAGAAAGGAAGCCTAGAACAAAGGCCAGCTGGTGGAGAAGGACACTGTTTTTACAAAGCTCACATTTTACACGTAACAGTACCAATTAACGCTAAGCTAACTTTAATAAGCCAAGAAGGACAGTATAATCACTAGAGTAACCATAAAGAATAGAGACACCAAATTATAGTAGTGCTTTTTTTAAAAGTTTTTATTAAAGCAAGCCAAATGTAGTGGCATGTGCTTGTAATCCCAGCACTCCAAAGTCTGAGGCAGGAGAATCACAGGTGTAAAGACAGGCTGTTCTCTATAGTGAGTCTCAAGAAAACATTATATAAATAACAAGATAAATACAAAATATACAAATAATTCTTAGGGGATATAAATAAAGTTTACCTGACCAGAAACTGTGTCTGACACTTTCTCTTCCAGTATTTGCTCTTGGAAATGTATGTAAATTTAAACCTCGCTGTCCTATAGCACCAAGTACACTCGGGCAAGAGTCAAGTGCACTGACCAGCACCAGATGAAGAAATCTAGCCATACTGAGTTCATAAGAATTTTGAAGAACAGAACTGAACAGAACAAGAATCACTTTAAAAGCCAGTCTTAGTGGTGTGATAACACTTGACTGTAAGACCAACACTTGGGAAGCTGAGGCAGGAAAATCAAGAGTTCCAGGCTAGCCTGGGCTACAGAATGAGAGCCTATCTTCAAAAATATTTAATTTAATTTCAACTTAAGTCACAGTTTACTTTGAAACTTACTTATATATTTGGTAACTTGTTCTAATTTTGAGTCCACCTTTGATGAAGTTGATCATATTTTCATCCTGAAAATACAATTAAATAATTAGAGCAGTTAGGGGGAAAAGTTAAACAGTATGTATTTGTATAATGAGAAAAAAGTGTGTGTGTGTGTGTGTGTGTGTGTGTGTTGCTGGGAATGGAACCTAGAGCATGCTGGGTAAACAGACATCCTACCATAAGCAGCATCCCTAGTCCCAAATGTATGTTGAGTGCCTAATTTTGAAATCGACACGTGATTCTTGCTTTACATTTGAAATGTGTCGTTCTGTAATTTTCTTAACAAGTTTGAAGGTAGTGAAAATACATTTTCAAAAAGCTTATATTACCTTGTATTTCTAAGGAAGTAATCCTCACAAATTTGGGGGCAAATGTAGTTCAAAGCTACTTCAATAAACATCAGCATCTACTGAGCAACACTTTTCCAGGGTCAGTTGGCTACACAAATCTGCTTAAAGGCCATACGTTCCCATCCACCATACACAGTAAATGGGATAATGGTTCTTTCAGCGATCCTTGGACAAGCAGTCTACTTAACATTGTAAATTTTATTCCTGTAAATTTGCAGACCAAAAACCACTGATCTAAATTCTGAAGTGGTTGTCACTAATATGCAATTTGGGGGTAGGGGACCGTTTTACTTCTCTTTGCCTGAGGGTTATCAATCATGAAATTGAGGCAGTTGGCCTAGATGAATGGCACTTTCAGGACCAGCATTCTGAAAGAGTCTCCTAATAAATTATACCAAATAACCCAGTGAAGGACAGTATGCTCACGGTGCTGACGGAGACAAGCCTACGCTCCACATTTCTAAGGAGAATTGCTAATCTACAGATCTCAGAAAGGTGGCACTTGAGATACTTCTAAAGTGAAAGAGAAACTGGTTTATTCTCATTAGCTATTCAAATGTTTAACATTCCTATTATTATACAAGTCAGTAAATACAAAATTCACTATGCAACTTAAATGTTTATATTCTTATTTTAAGACCTCTTTATTTACACAAGTTCAAATACAAGACAGAAAGAAATTCCCTGGGTTAGATTAAAATCTGATTCAAATAAGGGTATTGCACTCCATGATTCAGCAAATATGAAACAATGTTTATTTTGTGCTGGGCACCTACATGCAAAGGCAACATGATGTGCTAAGTGAGTAGGCATGCAGTGATGGAGACAAGCACAGACGTCAGGAGAACATAAAGTGAGGCATGACGTCAGCCAGCAAACCCTCCTGGAAGCCGCTGGTGCTTCTAGCACCAAGAAAGGACAGGGAGACCAGGCAAAGGAAGGAAACGCAGTCCTAGTTTGCATGCAAAGGAAATCTCATTAGACATGTCAGGAAGCAGTCAAGGCCACACTGGCATCTGCATGTATGGAGATGAGGAGCTAACACGCAGGCATCTGCATGTACACAGATGAGACCTAACACGCTGACATCTGCATGTATGGAGATGAGAGCTAACACGCTGGCATCTGCATGTATGGAGATGAGAACTAACACGCTGACATCTGCATGTATGGAGATGAGAGCTAACACACAGGCATCTGCATGTATGGAAATGAGAGCTAACACGCAGGCATCTGCATGTATGGAGATTAGAGCCAACACGCAGGCATCTGCATGTATGGAGATGAGAGCTAACACGCTGGCATCTGCATGTACACAGATGAGAGCCAACACGCAGGCATCTGCATGTACAGAGATGAGAACTAACACGCTGACATCTGCATGTATGGAGATGAGAGCCAACACGCAGGCATCTGCATGTATGGAGATGAGAGCTAACACGCAGGCATCTGCATGTATGGAGCTAACTGAGCAGCTACTGCAGAGAAGGAAGGAACCAAGGAGGAGGGAAACTACCCTGACCCCTGTGATAGGGTCAGGACACCTGAGGACCCATGAGAGGAGAAGCAGGGAGGCACCAGTGCAGCCTGGCAACCCCTTCCCAATTTGTGATATTCTGACACAGAGCACTGACAGTTCATGAAAGCTATGAGATGAAGAAGCAGAAAATAACAAGGCAAGAGTCTCAGTTCTGATAGAGTTCGCAATCAGAGAATGCAGGGTGAACTGCTGTATAATATAATCAATTCAGCAAAAGAATGAGCACCTCTGCAGGAGCACGGAGGAAGGGGTGGAGCTGATGAGCACCTCTGCAGGGGCAATGGTGGTGGGAGCATGTTTGATTTCAAGTGCTCAGGTACAAAACAAACTTGTAAACCTAATATTTGATTTAGGAAACACATGAGGAAGAATCCTGGGGCCTCTGTGACTCACATCATGATGTCAATGAGGTGGTGAGACAGTTGTTGTCAACCCATCTGGGTTATGCACAGGGCTTCAGAGAACAGGGTCAAAGGGCTACACTGATTCAGTTTTACTGAACAGAATCTAAGCTAACATGTCAACTTGCAGGGGGAAAAAATATCACCACCTCCCTCCAAGGGAAAAAAAAGAGAAATAATTTTCAAAATAATTTACAAGTTTGAGATTGTTTTCTGCTTCCTTATCATATCTACTCCTGTCCCTCATGACAGTCATCACTGGGCCATAATGTAGAATTCACATTTCTAGAAGCATTCGGACACACACAAACATAGGTGACAGATGAAATCAAAGTCCTTCTAAGAAAAGGATTCCTTGACTTCTGAAAACTGTTCTGGTCAGGCATTGTAGCCAGCACTTGGGAGGCAAAGGCAGGTGGATCTCCATGAGTTCAAGGACAGCCTGATCTTATAGAGAGTTCCAGGCCAGGCACGGCTACATAGTGAGACCTGATCTTGAGACAAAAGCAAGGAAGGAGGGTGAGGATAGACAGATGGGGTGGGTAAAGATGTGAGGGCCAGGAAGAGTGGCTACCGATGCACGAGCAGTTGACGGAGCTTCACAGAAGCAGGTGACCCAAGGAGTGATGTGCAGCGATCCCAGCACTAGGAGGCAGAGGCAGGCGGAGCTCTGTGAGTTCGAGGCCAGCCTGGTCTACAGAGAGAGCTCCAGGACAGCCAGGGCTACACAGAGAAACCCTGTTTGAGAGCAGGGGAGGTACTTCTCAGCCCGGGCAACTCTTACCACGCATGTGCAAACTAGAGTCCTCTTTGTTTTCACACTAAGAAGCTTCCTAGAAGTCATCTGAAACAGGCACTAAGTACATCTGAGTGGGAATACAGCTCTCTGGAGCCTTCTTTCAGGCAAACTTTATCAGGATAACAAATATCCTTCATTACCACTCTCAGTCTCAGCGCTAACACACGGTGAGCAACATTTACTATTTTCTGTACAATGCTGGCAGGCTTCCCACCCAACACCAATATTCAGCCAAATGTTCATTACCTGCACAAACGTGAGCGCTGCTTTCTGCAGGAGACACTCGGCGTAACAGATTTCTGCATGCATTTCCTCTATTAAAAACAAATACAATTATATTAAGACACAGTATTGCTCTAGATATTCTGAAAAGGCTGGAAGATAAATGAGCCCCAGAGAGACACAAAGGCCTAGATTGCTTCCGTGCTTCCAGAGAAACAGGATGAATTGTTCTTAGTCCTGGCACAGGATTTTCCTGGAACATGTGAACTGTTCAGGGAAGTCATCTTCAACTCCATGCAACACTGACAGCAGAGTGAGGCTTGGACAGAAGAGGAAACAGACTGTTTGTTTGAGACAGGGCCTCACTTTGGAGTCCAAGCAGGTCTGGAACTCACTAAGTAGTCCAGACTGTCCTATATTCATAGCAATCTTCCTGCCTCAACAACTTGTTTGGTACTGTGATTATAAGCATGAATCACCATGCCTGATTGAGGAAAACAAAATTCAAAAGCCCTTTTCAAAGAAAAAAAACTACCTAAAAATAATAGTAGCATAAACATTTAGCAGTTTGTATAGACTGAAAAGGTTCATTAAACTTATGAATTCTAGCTTCTACACTATGATCATCACGGTTATCATGACGATGATCAGATACACAGTCAACCTGTGAACAGTCACACTCTGTGGAGTTGTAAAAACCTACTGTCCTCTGTGCACAAGTCAGGACTCCTTGGAGATAGCAGCAAAGCAGCTGTGCTTTCCAATTTATGGCACTTTCATACCTGAGCACAAGCACAGGGTGCTCACACAAAGGTGCTATCAAAGCCACGCCCAGCCAAGGGATGTGTACACCACCCCAGACGTGCCCTGACTTCCTAGACACCCATGACACTTGCAGAGATCAGGGAAAGAAATCTTTATGTTTCTACATAAACAAAATCATCAGATTCCTTTCTCCACGGGAGGCAAATTGGTATGTTATTTAAGTAAATGAGCTTGGAGGAAAGACTCGACCACGTGCTAGTTAGTTAGTACAGAGCTCCGCACAGGCTGCCCTTCCTCTCTGCTGGTCCACTAATAACTCTGCTTTGCTCCTGAGGGTTAAGTGAGTATTGTCTCTAGCGCTCACCAGACACGGCGAGCCCTGATGAATGCTGGCAACTGTCGCCATTGTTGCTCCTGGCCCATGTCTGTGCTGCCTGGTAAAGGTTCAGAAGGCAGAGGGCCTTTTCAGTTCACGTGACGGGACAACTCGGGGCAAACTGTGTCACTGGAAACAGCACTGACCGAACTAGATACAAATGTAGGTTTTCCTTCCTTTACACACACATGACCCGTGGGCTCTCTCATATAGACTCAACGTAAAATGTTCGATTTATGAGGAAGTAATATGCAGCTAAGCTCCCCAGCAACAGGCAGGCAGGGTAGAAGCCACAGAAGACGACACCCAGACATCGTGCTGTCTGCACACGTCTAGCACGGCCACCAGCCGAGACGGCAGTCTCCACGACACCTTCCCTCAGAGCGTGCCTCAGTTTTCTCAGTACCTTCAGGGGAACTCAAGCCGGCAGCTTATGATCAGTCACCCGACTAGCCTCCTCCTGGGTAACTGTAACCAAGTGACAACTGTCTGGGGTTACTGATGCCAAAGGGCACCTTGGGGAGAGAGAGTGGCCAGAGGCAGGTGGGGAAGGGGAGAAGTCAGCACTGCAGAGGACCAGGTAAAAGGCAAGAAAGCACAGGTGCCGCTCCTGGGGGGGCAGCGGGGCTGCTTTGGTGGGAGCTTGAGGTGCATGAGGGAGGAGAGGGCAGCAGGATGGAGAGGCCAAGCAAGCTGACGCAGGCCAGTGCCCAGTGTCACAGCTGGCCTGACTCGGCAGGCGAAACAGCAGGTCCTCACCGAGACCAAAGACAGACAGACGTGAGAGCAATCTAAAGGATCCATCACAACACACGGAGGGCACGAACTCTGTAAGTAGTCTTCCTATCAAATCTCTTTGCGCATCCTAAGCATTACATTTCACTACCTCCCTGAAGTCTATCTGAAGCCATTCCACAGCAGCCGCGGAGGAGAGGAGCAGGTGTGTGTGTTCCACAGCAAGTTCGTGAACAACTCCATCTAGTACACCCATTCCTGAACACAACGAGAAACCTGAGAATGTAAACCGAAACCACCAACAGGACAACAAATCCTGCCCTGAAGCTACAGTGTTCTGCCATGCCCACTGTCTGGTTAGCGTCAACCCTGATGTGAGCTAGACTTTTCCAGGAAGAGGAACCTCAAACTGAGAAAATACCCCTTCAGAGTGGCCTGTAGGCAAGTCTGTAGAGCATTTTCTTGACTGATGACTGATGTCGGAGGGTCCCGCAGGTGGTCCTGGAGGGTGTAAGAAAGCAGACTGAGCAAGCCATGGGGAACAAGCCCGTACCCGTGTTCCAGGGAACAAGCCATGGGGAACAAGCCCATACCCATGTTCCAGAGATCAAGCCATGGGGAACAAGCCCGTACCTGTGTTCCAGGGAACAAGCCAGAAGCCAGTGCCCTCCATGGTCTCTGTTTCAGTTCCTGCTGTGGGATGTTAATGTATGTCCTGTGGGAGCCCTTCTTGGGTTCCTTGTGGCGTTACCCAGCAGGTTTGCATAGAGGATGATTAGGACCATGGGCCTGAGTGCAGGTGTCTGAGATGGTCTGCACTTGGCTGTACTGGGGGATGGTCTGTATGTCAAGTTGCTCTGATTGGTCAATAAATAAAACCTGATTGGTCGTGGCTAGGCAGGAAGTATAGGCAGGACTAACAGAGAGGAGAGATAAAAGAACAGGAAGGCAGGGAGAGACGCTGCAGCCGCCGCCATGACCAGCAGCATGTGAAGACGCCAGCAAGCCACCAGACACGTGGCAAGGTATAGACTTATGGAAATGGATTAATTTAAGCTATAAGAAGAGTTAGCAAGAAGCCTGCCACGGCCATACAGTTTGTAAGCAATATAAGTCTCTGTGTTTACTTGGTTGGGTCTGAGCGGCTGTGGGACTGGCGGGTGACAGAGATTTGTCCTGACTGTGGGCAAGGCCGGAAAACTCTAGCTACAAGTTCCTGTCTCCAGGTTCCCACCTTGGCTTCCCTTGAAAATGAACTGTGACCTACGAGCCAAATAAGCCCCGTCCTCCCCAAGCTGCTTTAGGCCATGGTGCCCTATCACAGCAACAGAAAGCAAACTAAACACCCCTCAACATAAAGTCTGTTTGGACTGCAGGAACAGACAAAGGCCCCAGGAATCACATGCAGCTTAAACTACAGAGCTTTATTCCTTCACCATGACTGGCTTACACTGTATAACTTCTTCACCAAAATGCCTCTTAACTGTAAATTCCTTAGTCCCTGAAAGAAATTCACGGTACACTCAAAAGCTAGCTAAGCACAGCCTTTCTGTAGCAGTCTAGAGATGTTCAGAATAAGCTACAGACAGGGACCTGTTAATTTTTCAATAATGAACACCAAGTCCAGATTTCCTTAAATGCAAGGAGGAAAAATCAGAATATAATCATCAGTTTTCCAGATGTGACAATTCAGTGTTTCCATCATCCAGCTAAGATGTTTTCTATTCCCCTACAGGAGAACATGGGGACAGTGGGCAGAGTTGTGGCTAGGGGACACAGACCAGTTTCAATGCTGCTTCCAGAGTTGGTCACCTTGGCCACTTACTCTCTGTGAACGTCAGCTAAACACATTAGGTCGGCTAATGTTCAGGAAAGCAGCAAGAGTGCATCTGCAGACAGAGAACACTTTAAAAATAGAGCAGTATGGCATTTTAAAAACTAAGGTTTAAAACTTTCCGATATCACCTTCATACCACACAGAAAAGGGGGAAAGAGGAGTGAGTGCCCCAGGGGAGAAGACATGTGGACAGTGCTAGGAGGGAGACTACAGAGACCAGAGTCACACGGGGGCCAATTTCATCTCCATGATCAGCTCTGGAAGACTTTAGGCCTACTAGTACCAGCTTTTTTCTTATAGCTGCTTCCAGGTCAGTTTCTAATGAAAAAGAAGACAGTTCCGACTGCCTGCAGTAACCAACAAAATACCATCTGTTTCTGTCATGGCTGAGTCAACACCGCCCTCCTTCCCAGCAAGTCCTAAAGACGTGATGTGTCACAATCCTCAACTGTAACCAACACTCAAAACTCACATCATTCAAATGTGCACAACTTCTCCAACGTCCCACACAAGCTGATAACACGCCTACAAAGCAAACAAAGCCCCGTGACAAATCGCACTCGAGGTGTGCGGCATACACTTGACGATTCTGACAGCCATGCCTAGAGCTGTGTCTGCTCTACCCAGCTACGGCTGCTTCCAGGGTTTTGTACTAACTCCCTCTTCCACGGGACAAGTTTGAAAAGGACGATATGGACACAGATTCTCCTGAGACAGCACCGCTTCTACAGGATTACCTGGATGCTCCTTGGTGGTGGGCCACCCTTCTTTATAGGGCTGGTCAGACCACTTCTCTCCTCATTTTACTGGAAATAGGAAACAACTGGCGATGGTCCTCCCATCTACCTGATCGAGTGCTACAGACATTCCTGGACTCCAACATCTCCATCTGCTATGTAGACGAGCATTACCATTTTTAAAGTTACAAAAACTACCCAGATACAGTGGTGCACACCTTTAATCTCAGCACTCAGGAGGCAGAGGCTGGTAGATCTCTGTGAGTTCAAGGTCAGCCTGGTCTACAGAGCGAGTTCAGGCCAGTGGGAACTACATAGGAAGACCCCGTTTCAAAAACAAAAAAAAAAAGTACTTTCACCTTGGAAAAATATTAATAGTCTGTAGAAAATGAAACTCTGCAAGGTGGTTAAATATACAGGATTTTGGGAGGAAAAAAAAACCCAGTATCTATAAATAGTATAAAATTTCAAGCCCTGAGTTGCAGTAATTCTACTTTTAGGAAACTGACTCATGAAATACTTGAAAGATATAAAAAGACATGTACAAAGGACTTTAGGGCAGCAATATTTGCAAAAAATGGAAAAATTAACGCTGTCCTGCAGTGAGAAAAAAACAAAACAAAACAGCATACTGTGGTACCATCCTGTTCATGACTGTACAGCTCTGAACAGATAAAATGCATTAACACACCCTGATGTGGGTCCAGATCACATCGGAGCACACGTGGTCCACTGCTTAAAAAAAAAAAATAACAGCAAATGTGTGCACAGCTGAGGGCGTCGGATGTGAGTGGCGTGGGGAAGAGAAAAGGAGGGTCCTTCATTTCCGGCTTCAGTGATGAAGGACAGGGAAAGGACAGGGGAGCGAGCTTTCAACACCCTTACCTTCACTCAGCTGTTCCAACGACCCCCGAGACAGGAGACTTGAGAAAGACTCCACAACTGTGCATTTCTTCCTGTATCTGCAGTGAAGAAAGGCAAGGGGGGGCGGGGGGAGACCAGCATCAGAGTGGGTCATCGTCACTCACTGTCAATTACGCTGGACCGCTCAGGCCCGGTCTGCAAGGCCAAGCCCTCCTCCCCCAGGCCGCGCACATAGTGCCCGCCCGGTCCTGCACCGCCAGCCGTGAGCACTCACCCCACCCAGCATGGTGCAGAGGAGCCCACACACCCCGAGGACAAACCTTGCATAAACCTCCCCGCATTTTCCTGGCTAAAAGCAGAATATCTGTGGTAAGCGTCTCCACGGGTAAACAATGGGCTTAAAGTGCACGATTAGGAAAATGCTCTTCATTTGAGGGTTTACAACATAATTACATGGAGATTCATCTTACCCACATTAAAATTCACCAGTACAAATAACAGCTTTCACTAAGACCTTTTACACGAAGATTAGAGCTTAAAACTGACACTCTATCTCATTTTGATCAACTAAGAGTGTCTAAATGCATCCTTAGGCAAATAAAAATTCCCTTCTAAGTGTGTGGTTTCTCCCAGATAGAGCAAGCACAGTGCCCGCTTGACCTGACATGGTACTCGGTTCTTAACTCATTTACCTCAAAAGACCTAGAAAGATGCTCTCTGCTCACCCTTCTGAAGCCTCCCTCAGACCATGTATCCAGCAGTGGGTACAGGTGCTAAAGTGGGAGCCATATTATACATCCCCACAGGACTTCTTGAATTCCACTGCATGGAACTGAATTGGCCAAGAAACTCGGAAGTGGAAGTCCTGTTGCATAATTCTGGCCAGCCTCAAACACAGAGACCTTAGTTCAGCAAACTGCATCCACCTGGCACTGTGGCAGGAAGGTTTGGGGTCTCAACTCAAATAATAACTACTCAGTCATACTTCTGGCAGGTTTGCAAGGCGTCCTTCATGGCAGAAATGCCATTCTGGATGTCCTGTTGCTCAAAGGTCATGATAGCCTGCAACACCACAATGGTACTGTATCCCAAGGCATGGTACATGCTCTCCTTGGCCCTGGAGAGAACACAGACAGTTAGTACATCTCAACACAATGAAAGGAAAAGAGACAGAAGTCCGGGCTTTTTCTGACACCAGCAATACCAAACCCTCGCCATGCACGCTGACTTCTGCTCCACAGTTACCGAAATGATACAAGCTCTGAAAGGCCTGCTTTAAAACTCAAGTACGATTTAAACCCACACGACAGAATAAAGTGCTGCCGACAACATGCCTTTCCCTGAATCAGCACAAGGGGGCAGCCTGTAGATTCGGTCCTAGAAAAAGTTTGAAAGCAAACCCATGTTTCCAGTTGAATAGCGGCAGCGTACCATCCTAAAATCTGAAATGAGTGAGGCTTGGTGGCACACAACTTTGATTCTAGCATCCTGAGAAGTGGAGTTCAGAAATTCAAGGTCCTTCTGAGTTTGAGGCCAGCCTGAGCTACACAAACCTCTCACAAAAAAGAAAAACACCAAAAAGGAAATCTGAAATTTTTGCATGATACAGGGGAAAAGACACCTTTAAAACTGCTATCTCCACATGGACCCCACCCTTGCTCACTGCTGCAAGGGGTGAACTGGCCAGGGCAATGCAGGAGAGCTCACCCTGGTGGCGAGGACAAGGGAGAGCTGGCAGGCTGACCAAGCCTGCAACTACGCAGGCCCAGAACAGGGTTCTGTGTTGGCCCACCCCAACATCCACCCCATCTTGGATCTGCTGGAGCCCAGGTGGGGGCAGGGGGCAGGGTTGGTCCTTCAGACACAGGGCAGGAACGGGATGTCCAGAAAGAGTCCCATTGGGGGCTCAGTGTCCATAGTGTAGCAGAGACCGGCTGCCTCAAATCAAACCAAAGATTCTTTGTGATGAATGCCTGCCTGTAAAGATGTATGGATAAAAGAGTTCACTGCGTGACTCACTGTGTCACACTGCAGCTTCCATGACGAGATTTTCCCTTCCTCCCCTTTTTTTTCTTTTTTATCTTAAATTTTATTTTGTTTTATTTTGTGGAGGGGGTTGCAGGGGTAGAGGGTGGATGTGAGGGGACGGGAGATGGGCGGGATCAGGATGCATGACGCAAAAGACACAAAAAAATAAGAAAGTTTAAAAAAAAAAAAAAAAGGCCTATTATGTCCTCTCCAGCCAAAGCCAAGAGGAAGCCAGAGTTTTGTAATCAATTAGGTCATGACAAAGTCTAATACCTGGAACTCCTGATGAAATCCTGAGAGCTGAGGCTATCAAGCTTGGGACGACAGCCTGAGGCTGCTAGTTCCCCTCAAAGCCTCTTATGCTGATTATTTATGTCTGAAATATCAATGTGGGGTTTGTGAGGATGACTCAACATCCCTAGGCTCCATGAAGCACATGCAACATTATTCCTTTCACCTTGGACAGAGCTTAAAGAGCCTTTGTCCTGAACGAGGGCACTGCCCACTCACCCCAGAGTTATCAATGCCAGTTCAAACCTCCCATTCAAGTGGGGTAAAGAAGGAATTTTAACAGTGATAAACAGCATAAAGATAAGAGACTGGGAAACTACTAAATTTATCTTCATCCTATTCTATAAGCGGATGGTAGAGAGGAAAAGGAGATCTGCTAGAAAAAAAGAATAAAGGAGACAGGTAAAGACGCTGAGTCAGAAGGCAAGCGAGCTAGCAAGTGGGAAAGCCCAGCAGACCGGCGGCGAAGGGAAGCCGTGGTCCAGAAGATGGCAGACAAACTCTGAGGGACACCGGTGACCACCTGACGTGAGGGATCCGATTCCCCAACTTCAGCATCAAGTCTCCCTCTAGCAAATTACAAAAGATCTCAGCTTCTCTGAAGCAGAGTCTGAAGACAGGATGGGTTCTGCAAAGTCCATCCCATGCAGAGCTGAGGCCGGTGAGCAGGTGGGGTAGCGCAATGCCACGCCTGCAAAACTCAGTGCTGGTAACTTCCATGGCAGAAGCAGGGGGTCTCAATCACATTCCTAATATCTTAAGTTTGACTTTAGCACTGGGATTCGGCTTCTGCAGTTACTCGCCTGCCCATTTCTAAGGAAACGCTGGTCAGCGATAGAGGGAGCACTCATGTGGAGACTTCGCTTGAGAGAACAGACTCGGGCCTCCAAAATCAGACAACACCTGAGCAAGTGTGGAGACCAATAATAAGCATCAGAAATTTCCTATTGGCTACATCTGAAAAGACATCTCTTTAAAGCTGATTGATGGGGAGGGGTCTCAATCCAATTAGATTATAAATACTGAGGCAGATACTGATCCATTAACACAGGAACATGACATCAGAAAAACACATGAAAAATATCTAACGAGAAACAGAGCTACTTACCATGGACGAAGCAACTCTAAGGCATCTTTAAATTTGTTGCTTAGAAATAAGTTCAATGCCTCCGCACACTCTTCCAGACCACTCTTGAGATCCACCTTGGCTGATGAACTGAAGAAAAAACAAAAAGACATAGCTTTTGTGACTTTTACTACTAGCACCTGTCCCAAGGCGTGGGGGAGGGGACTATGGCAGCCGGCTGCAATTCCCCCTTGGCCACTTCCCAAAGCTGGGGCAAAGGAGCCTCCCTGCCCTCTGCAAGGCCGATGCTCTGAGTCTGTACGAAACAGGTGGGCAGGAGAGAAGGCACACACCCACACGTACTGAACACACAGGTGCGTGGCAGGATGGACAGTGGGTACCCAATTGCCCACATTAAGACTTAAAAACACATAAACCTACGCAGAGGGGAGGGGGGTGGAGCCACAGAGACAACAGTGATTTCATTAATTTTGGGTTTGACACTAGAGCCCAGGCTGGCCTGGACCTCACAGCGATTCCCCTGCCCCATCCTCCCAAGTGCTGTAATTAGAGGCATGAAACGCTGCAGCCCATTTCCAGGCAAGGGCCTCTGGCTGCAGGCAGTGTCCACTCTGGTGTTCCAGCCTCTGGCTCAGCTTCCTAAGTGGTGAGGAGGTGAGGAGGATGCGCACAGCACTGCACTCTCCCTGGAACCATTTCCCCCATCAGCCAGGGGCATTCAAAGATTCCGCCCTGTTCTTCTAGAGGGAAACAGAAAGAGAGAAAACAACGGCACCCCGAAGTACAGTGCTTTGACACGCTGACTCTCAAAGCAGGAGCTTCAAAACCCATGTCTCTCTGACCTCCCATTTCCTTCTGACTCCTTTCTTTCAATCTCTTTTGTAACTGTAGCCCTGACCTTCAACTCACTGTCACCCAGACCAGCCTAGAACTGATGGTAACCCACCTGCCTTGGCGTCCTAAGCACTAGGACTTTTAGGCATGTGCTACCACATTCTGGGGCATCATTTTCCAAGTCCCAATGCCAACTCTGTCTATAACATAGCTGGGCCTCAACTTTCTTATCTGTAAAATGGGAACACAGCCATCTATTTCCTGGGCTGTTGTGAAGCAGAGATCAACCGACAAACACCGCCCACAGTAGGCACTAATTAGATGAGGGCTTGGGGGGAAAGGTCACACACGGTGGCCTGACTCTGATGAGCACCTGACTCTGCACCTGTGATGCAGAGATGCTCCCTAACTGTTCTACAGTGAGGTGACTCATGGGAATATCTGGGTTCGGGGGAGGAAGAATTCCATGCTGCATATGCAGCAGGCAAGACAGAAAATGAGAGCCATGACAGGAACTAGGCCAATGTCAGAAACATAGTGTCATGGGGGGTGGAATCTATTCTAAGAACAAAGGGAAGTGCATAATCTCAGAAGTCCTGTCCCCTAGGGGGTCAGGTAGAGCACACCTTTAGTCCCAGCACTCGGAAGGCAGAGGCAGGCAGACCTCGGTAAATTCGCTGGTGAGAAGCCAGCCTGATCTACACATCAAGCTCCGGGCCATCCGGGGCTAATCTTCTTCCCTTTTCCTGCTGCTGAGTGCTGCTCGGAGCTTCTCTCTCACCTGCTCTGCACCCCTCCCACCTAAGTTCTCTCTAAGATGGCAGGCAGCTCATTATCTACTACTAGGAAATGAGCTGTGACCAGGATGCTCTCCTCGCCAACAAACAGCCTCCTCCACATCTCAGCTGCCATCTGGAGGATCCACTCCACCTGTCCCAGGCCAGGGCAAACAAACAAGCCACACCCCTTCAAAGCTGTTTTGTATGAGGTCTGCCTGGAACCGAACATGGCTACTCCCAGAAGAAGGCCAGTACTGCCTACCAAGGGCTCTGGTTTCCTCCTGGAGACACGCATCCCTCTCTGCTCCCAAGGCCACGCCACGAATGGAGGTTAACCCTTCAGAGCTCTAAAGCTCTCCCCAAGAATACCTTCCTGATGCCAGAGGTTTTGACTTCATGGTTTCAGTCCTAAGCAGGCATTAGACACACCTTTGAGAGCTTGTTAGTGCCTACTGCTGGACCCCACCCTCAAAAGCTTCTGACCCAGGAGGGCTGGCATCGGCCCAAGTGAAAGCCCAATTCTGCTTTAGTTCACCCTCTATACCACTCTCGGACTTCTCTCCCTAAAACAGATATTCCTGACACCGCCTTCTCAGATTAAGAACAAAAATGGCTGCCCATGGCTGCCACATAGAGTTCAACAGGCCCAGGAAACATATTCCCAACCAAACCTATCCAATCAGACCAGAACAATGAGCAAGACTCTTAAAAACAACCAGGCATCTTGAAAGGTTCATCAGCATGGGGTTCCCCTCAAGCCTGGCATGACAGCATGAAAAGAATCTTGAACTAGAAGTGAAAGTAAAAGTCAGTGTTTCCATTCCCAGAGTCGTTCCCCACCCCACCCCCAGCCCATCTCTGTGGCTTTCACAACCCACAACCTGTTTGAAAGAAACAGAGGCAATGGTTGCTATGGCATGCTTTGTGTGTGTTCCTGCTCTGTTGAAGTCAACAGCTGTGTATAATCTTGCAAAAGCTCTGGATGCTCCACTCACACACTCACATTCTAGACCGGCTGGAGCCCTGCCTGTTCCTGCCATGTATCCTTGGCAAAGTGAAGACTCCGTCCTAGTTCTAATTTACATGATATGCCAATATAAGGCAGAATGGTTATTTTAGTCTTACATTTTTAAAAACATACAAACTAATGTCTAACAAATATCTGGAATGACGCTAATAGTATCCCTTACATCCCAATTCCATTTCTCCCTTTAACAATCACTCAATATGCTTGATTGTAAACGCTGTATGCCTTGTAGTGAATGAGGATCCTGGCTTTGGAGTCAGAGCCTTTGGCTCCATTCCTGACCTTACCCCAATCCTACATAGGACCATGACAAGTCACTTTTCATCCCTGATTCTCAGTGTCCTAATTCATAAGATGTATCCAGCAAAAGCGCCCACATTATAAGCTGCACTATTAATACATGTGATGTGCTTAGTGTCTGGGCAGAAGTCCTTGGATAATGGCAGCTATTAGTACCATTATTCTGTTAAGAACTGCTTTCAATAATTCAGAGTCATCTGTTCACACACCCACTCAACTGGATAATACCAAACAACTTAGCACTGACTAGAACGGGGACAAATCAAATGGAAACATGGAAGAGAAGATGAACCACTTAAAGAGTATGGTCCAGCAATACCCAGTAGACCCACACTATTGTGCTATCTCCGGAACTTTATACACCCTGAAACACTGAAATTGTGTTCTTGACAAGCAGTGGCTCTCTAGCCTGCCTTCGTTCCCAGACAATCCAAACAAAGCCCCCTCTTCTCACATTGGCCTCTACTCAAAAGTTCACCACAATCAATGACTTAACCATTTGGGAACCTCACCCTACTATACAGTCTCTGGAATTCTGCCTCCTCAGTGGCCATAATTTCCTTCATGATGCTGAGACGCCCCCAAAGCAGCCTTCATTACTAACTGACACTAGTCTGCTTTGTACCCACATGGGCTGAAGTGGTACCCATGCTAGCAAGTGAGGAGTAAATAGATCTGTAAGAGGCTTCTCTCCATCCCTTTAGCCTGAGGCCCCAGACTCCTGCTTTCATGAATTCCTCAAATACATCACAACGACTGTGATACACTTCACCCTTGGGATCTGAAAACGAACAACTTTTCCAGCAGCCCACTTGCATGGAAAGCTATCTGTGTGAAGACCTAAGAGCATGTCTCCTCTCTAACTACGGGGTACAGTAAGAGGATGAGGTGACAGGAAAAGTATGGGCCAACAAGGAGTCTTCCCCTCACTTTTCCAAAATGCTTAACACAACTACTTCAGCAACTAGTCTATTAAGAAACTGGAGGTGAAAAGCACAAACCGTACAGTAATTTCATCACTGGTGCCCTTTAAAGATACCAGTAATAAATACAAACTCAGAATTTCAGAGCCACAAAGCATCTTAGCTGGCAGCCATGTACTTCTCTAGGCATCAAATCCCTCTATGGGAAGATTTCTCTCCTATTTCTAGGTTGAGGGGGAATCAAAAGAAACCAGCACCATTGAAATGATTTGACACTAAACAAACAAGAGGGCCAATCACCAGGGCAGAGGGAATCACAAAAGGGCAGAGCACCAGGGTGTTTGCCTTCCAACTACAGCTGCAGCACCCCTATCAATTCACGGGACATCTAGTGCTTCCTGTTTGTGAACTGGTGCCGTGTTTGGAGGAGCAGGCAGGTGTCTGTGAGGAGGGTCAGCTGAGGAGCCGCAACACAGGCAGTAAGCTGGTTACTTCCTGTGCCACCAAATACCAGCCACGCCCACGGACTTCTGAAAGGCTGGAGGCTTCACTGACCTCACTAGAGTATCTTCTGAGGAAGAGGATGGGGACATTCAGTTTTGCTAAGGCTCCCAAATCTGCAAGTGTTAATACCATAATAAAATCATCTCTACACCATTTCTCACATTTGATCTGCACATGTTCCTGGGTGTTTAACTTTTCCTCTTCTCAACTCCGACACATCCACAATTCTCACTCATTTTTACTTAAGCAAACTAAACAAGGAAATAACTCTCCCTCAGGCTTGCTCTGTGTCCTACCATGGTTTCTCTGCTAGACTGCATCTGGAATGTCCCCCAAAGACCCATGTGTTAAAGTGTTGGTGTACAAAGGTATTATCTGGGGATGGAAAAGTCTCTAAAAGGTGGGGCCCAAGTGGAAGATCTTTAGGTGATGGAGAGATGCCCTTAAAGGGGACTGTGGTGCCCTGGCTTCCTCCTCCGGTCTCCATCCCTGGCCATGGTGCAATTGCTCTGTCATGTGCACTATGTGCAGCTCATCACAGGGTCAAAAGCAGGGGGCTGGCCCATCACGGACAGGACTTGAGGTTTGGGAGACACAGAAGCCTTTCTAAGTTGACTGCCTTTGGTAGTCTTTATAGTAACAAAAGCTGACTATCACACCCTCCCTCCCTGCCTGCTGCAAGAACTTCATGAGTTGACATCTGTCACCAGAACCTGCCTCCTGCCAACTCCCTCCATTCTCAACAATTAACCACAAAATGCAAAGGACATTCATTTCCCAGTCTGCATCCATGCACGCCTCTTTACATCTACCTTGTAGACTAGATTCTGGAATTCACCCACCCTCAAGTCCTCGTCCCTCCCCCACATCTGTGGCTCTCGCTAGAACTCATTCTCTCAGCAAAGCTCCTCTGTCCTGGTCACCTCTCCCTCCAAACACTCCCCTTTTTATTATGCTGTCTCCAGAAACAGCATTTGTGGTCGGGGCGTTAGTTAAGATTCCTGGGCCACAGCCTCAGTCCAGCTCTGACCTTATTTACCACTGCATTCAGTTCTTTTCAAACACAGCTTTATAAATGCTGACGTGGTAGTTACCTAGGAAACAGAAGAATTAGAGGATAACTATGAGAAGGAAATATTTCTTTCTAGGAAAAAACCCTCATATTTCCATGAGCAGGAGCATTTGGAATTTTTAAAAAGTAATGTGGAAAATAATTTAAGATTATTACAAGTTATTTCCAACTTTATCTCCATTCCTCCAATCCCTTCCAAACCAAGACGATTTACCAAACTCATAAATATAATGAACACACTTGTAATAGCTAATTCCAAATGTGAAATTTAAAATGAAGACCCGATATATAAACTTAAAAGCTCCACAAACCTGTAAGTAAGAATAGAAAATACTAAATGAATGAATGAATGAATGAACGAACGAACAAACAAACAATTTTAGCCAGGCCATGGTGGTGCATGCCTTTAATCTCAGCACTCAGGAGGCAGAGGCAAGGCAGATCTCTGTGAGTTTCAGGACAGCCTGGTCTATAAAATAAGTTCCAGGACAGCCAGGGCTACACAGAGAAGCCCTGTTTCAAATATCACAGGTATTAAGACAAAACAAAAATGCCTTGAAACTCATAAAATAACAACAACTTAGGGCTAAGGAAACGCTCAGTGGGTCAAGGACTCAGCAGGGGTTCATATCCCCAGGACCCGTGTAAACCCGGATGCAGTAAAGCAGGAAGTGGACACAGGCAATCCCTCAGAGCCTGCAGCCGGTCGCCTGCAGTGAACAGCTGACAAAAGGCATCCTGTGTGATGCGGACAGTGAGGAATGACACGGGAGCTTGTCCTCTGACCTCAGCACACACACCATGGTACACTAGCACACGCACACACACACCACACTTTAAAAAAACCCAACTTACATGTTCAGAAACCTGATAACTTAATTCTAGAATAAATTAGAAAGGACAATGATTGGCAAGTAAATATGATATTGTAAAAATACCTATAAGGAATGAATGATACAATGCTGGGAGATGGCTTAGTAGTTAAAAGCACTGACTGCTCTTCCAGAGGACCTGGGTTTAATTCCCAGCACCCACATGGCAGCTCACAACTGTCGTAACTCCAAGATGTGACACCCTCACACAGACATACATTCAGGCAAAACACCAATGCATATAAAATAAAAAATTATCTTAAAAAAAAAAGAAAACATAATGATATATGTTTAAAAAACAGACTACAGAACATTGTGACATGATCCCAATTTAAACAATTTAGTAAATTTAAGAAGAGTACAAATACTGATATTACATCCCATTCTCTTTGTGCTTTCTGTGGCTCCTGAGTTTTTATAGCAGATACATTTCTTAAAATGTATTTTTAAGCCAAGGTCATGAGAAAATAAAAGGAAGAAAAATAATAGTAATACAACACAAGTTTTAAAGATCTATTATGGGTCAGGTGTGGAAGCCCACTCCTGTAATCCCAGAACGTCATGCAGAAAGATCAGGAAATTCAAGGTCTTCTTCAGCCACATAGCCAATTCTAGGCCTGCCCAGCTACAAACAAACAAAGCAAACCGTTGTGGGATATTTTGATCACGCTCTGACGCTACCGAGACTGCCAATAAAGTTCACTTTGAATCAGAGGGCAGAGCTAGCTAACTAGACGATCAAAATTAGCCATAGAGATTTTGGAGGACCAAGGACATATAGAGATACAGGAAGAGTAGGTTGGGGCTTAGAAAGATTCTCAGCCTTTTCGGATCGAGGAAGGGGAGAGAGAGGAGGTCACTGGTCCCTATTCTGCCACTTCTCTGATCATTTGGGTTCTTACTCCGATATCTGACTCCCAAGTTTTTATCAATAAAGATAATAATCAGATAAACACTTCAGCAAACAAAACCAAAGTTTTACAGTTTAAAGATAAGCCAGTATCTTTACCAAGCCTGAAGAGCCGAGTTCAATTTCCCGGACCCACACAGTGAAAAGTGAGAACTAACTCCTGCAAGTTGTCCTCTACCCTCTACAAATGTGCAGTGGTCCTCACTCTCACACAGCGTGCACACACACAAAGTAATGCTTTTTTTTTTCTTTCTGGAAACAAGAAGCTATGTCCCCTTGCATGCATCCTCTTCTCTAACTCACGAAACGGACGCTCTGACTGCCCAGGCCCACCCCACCTCACTGGTGTACGACAGTCCCCTAAGAGTCCCCGGCAGAGTCCTGACCTGCCCACAGCAGATGCTCCAAGCTGTCTGGATGCCCGTTTGGTGTCACACGGTACGAAGTGAAAGCCGCTTGTTGCCATGTCCGAGGGAGACCTGTGGATTAAAAAGCAGTCAGGGTCTCAGTTCTTTGTTCTGTGAGAAGGGGCTGCACAAGCGTGAGAGCACAGTGCACACCAATACACACCTGTCAAGCATTTTCTAGAATGCACCTCTACTTCAACTTAATTCTACTTCATGCTAAACATTCCCGAAATTAAACCACTGGGAGCCGGGCGGTGGTGGCGCACGCCTTTAATCCCAGCACTTGGAAGGCAAGCAGGCAGATCTCTGTGAGTTCGAGACCAGCCTGATCTACAAATCGAGTTCCAGGACAGCCAAGGCTACACAGAGAAACACTGTCTTAAAAAAAGAGAAAAGCCACCAGGAGACTGGTTTTCCTTATATTTTAACATGCAAACAACACACTGAAATCACCCACAGCCTGCTATCTTTTGCATCCTTTTTCTTTACTTCTTCCCCTCCCCCTCTTTTTTGAGGAAGGGGGCGAGGATAGGCAGGGGCTGGCTACATAGTCCTGGCTGGCCAGAACTCAGTAGGTAGATTATGTTGGTCTCAAACTTGCAGCAATCCTCCTGACTCTGTCTGCCAAATCCTGGGATCGTAAGTGTGCCTGTCACTGTGCTTGACCCAGATCATTCGTACGCATGTATGGTCTTCCGGGATTTTTGGTTTTGTTTTCAGTTAGGGTCCGTCTCCAGGTAGCCAGGCCAGCCTCAGGCTCACAGCAATCTTCTTGCCACGGCCTCCCAAGTGTTGAGATTACAAATATGAGCCACCATGCCTAACTCAGACATTTCTCCCCAAGTGAAGCTATACATATTTCATTACAATATTTATTAAATTCATAAGGCCGAGCTGAGACAGCAGCTACCCATCTTCTTAGGATGTTGGGTTTTGCTGTTACTGTATAATGCACATGGGTATTCTGCCCGCATTTATGTCTGTGTACTACGTGTGAGAGCCTGGTGACCCATAAGCCAGGAACCGGCATCTTATCCCTGGAGACTGGAGTTACAGATGGTAGGAGCTGCCATGTGGGTGCTGGGAATCCAACTCAGGTCCTCTCAAAGAGCAGCCAGTTTTCTAAACCAGTAAGCCATCTCTCCAGCACTGCTGTTGTTTTGTTTCTAAAGACAAAAGTTTGCTCTACAGCCAGATTGGCCTTGGACACGACCCTTGCCTCAGCCTCAAGAGTGCCAGGTCACAGGTGTATGCGCCCATGCCTGTGGCCCTGAATGCCAGCTCTTCAATAAAACCAATTTCCTTCCCACCAGCTTCTTATTACCTAAGTACTGGCTTAGGTGAGTGGCCAGCCCTGAGTCTGCTAACAAAGGTTCAAATTACATCCTTCTAACCCTTTATGCCTTTACACACTAAATTCCCAGAGTTCTGTTTCAGATTTTACATTAATATCACAACCAGCCCATCATGCCACCAACTGCGCTTTTAACCACCGGTGTTGGCTCAGGGTCAGTTGCCTTTCTAGGGTGGATGCTCTGAAACACACTTTGCTTGCAAATAGCAATGGTAAGGCACGTGTGTCTACCCATCTCCCCTTCTCCATGGGCTCCTCCAGGGATCTGGTCATAACATGCCACCAAGGGTGTGTCATCTTTTCTGGCAGGAGCCAAAACTTCAATCTTAAGACCAGAAGACACAGTTCTCCATACAGCTCCTTAACTTCCTTGTTCCAGCTCTCCCTCTGCAGTTTCTTCTGCAATATAGGAAAATTACTTGGCAAAGTAATGAGGATATATTGCCTTCCCAGAAGGATGCCAATGATGTGGCAGGAGGGACCTCCAGAGAAACAGGAAGGAAACCAGGCTGCGGATACTGAGAGTGCAGATCCCTGCCTCCCTTAGGACTTGGGTGGCCATTACATCCTTTTCAGCATGACACTTCCCAACCAAGACTCTCATCAAACAAGCAACTGAGCTGTTTGGTAGAGGTGCACACCTCTGATCCCAGCACTCCAGAGAAACCCTGTCCCAAAAAAAACAATATATAGACAGACAGACAGACAGATAAATGAATGAATAGAGCCAGAGAAACCCTGTCTCGAAACAGAGAGAGAGAGAGAGAGAGAGAGAGAGAGAGAGAGAGAGAGAGAGAGAGAGAGAGAGAGAGAGAGAGAGAGAGAGAGAACGCAAGTAAACAGCATTTGTCCTGCAGACAACTAGGATTCTAGGTAGCAGAGAGCTTATAAAACCACAGCCAGACAGGGCACAGAACCAAACATGCCATGCTGGCCTTTTGTCTGCAGCCACTCAGAATTTACACACCTAACTCATTCAGTATAAATCCTGTCTGTACTTCCTCAGAACCTATTTTCTCCTTTTTTAAAAAAAACTAGAAATGTTCCAAATGTACAAAGTAGAGAAAATAGCACAGTACATTATATTATACCTGGAATATGGTTCTGGGTACAGTGTGAGCTACATTTAACCTCCACCCCCAATCCCTCCCTTTCTCCTAAGATAGGCAATCAACAACCCATCCTCCAGCCATTTGTCAGCTCAGAAATGAGACAACAAAAGGAGACTGAAGTCCTCGCAGGATCCTACAGCACTGGCAGGAATATTCACTCCCTAGAGACTTGCTTGCCCATGCTTGGCTGGTCACTTTACCAGTAACATCTATATTCTAGAAAATGGGACATTTGAGCTGGAGAGATGGCTCAGCAGCTAACCTGTTGCTCTTAGAGAAGACCCAGGTTTGATTCTCAGCACCCACGTGATGGCTTACAACCATCCATAACTCCAGATCCCCAGGGACCCAGTGCCCTCTTCTGATTCCTGGAGACACCAGGCTCACACAGGGTACACACATGGTGGCCATACATACACACAGGCAAAATATTCATACACATAAAATACATCTTTGTAAAAACCTGACATTAACTTGTAGCTATTTTACTCCGATAGATACACAAATAATTTATGTCTGAAAATGTTACGGTTTTATCACCTGGCCGGTGATAAACAAATAAGCCAGTTTTGTGTTTCATAAATCTTATCAACATTTTGTCTTCAGTTCCCCCAAGTGCTTTGGGGAGCGTTTATCACCTCAATGATCTTCTTGGTGATCAACAAGCCTGAGGCATGAGCTGATTTATTGACAATGCTGCACTAAGCTGCAACCCCTAAGACAGGGCAAGTTCTTGTGTATTACCTGGTCCTGGACGCCTGCACTTCACACACTCACCATTACCTCAGCTTTCTGATAAGTGGAGGTCAACAGACCGGAGTCATCTGTTTTGTTAACTGGTATTTGGGAATCTTTTTATTATAAAGTTATAAATATAAAGTTATACTATAAGGTTATATAAAAAGTCTTGCTGGATTTTTATTCAGACCGATACATTATTACAAATGCCCTTTATAATATTGTATTTCATGCAAAAGATGCCCTTTATAGTACTGCATTTTTACATTTATATACATTGCTATGGCTTGAGTCTGCCCTGCCCCCTCCAAAGTCCATTGTGATTGAACACTTGGTCCCAAGTAGGAGGTGGTGGACCCTTGGGAGGTAGGATCTGGTGGGAAAGCCTTACATCACTGGGTGTATCAGGTAAGAGAACTCAATGTTATGAAAAGAAGAAATCTGCTATGTCCATCCCTGTTCTCTACTCCTGTTCAAGATGTAACTATGTTCCCACACAAGCTACCACGGTATGCTATCCATATGCCACCCTCACCACAGGCCAAAACTAACAGGACTGCCTAATCTAGGACTCTGAACTTCCAAAATCGTGGGCAGAGTAACCTTTTTCTCTGTATGACTTAGCTACGTCAGGTGTTTTGCTTAAGGGATGTAAAGTTGACTAATACAGAGACTTATTCAAGTCTTTGCTTATTTCATTCACTAAAGGTTATCAGTATATAAACACTGTGCTGACATCCATGTATTGTAAAAGAGCAACACTAAATCTTTATTTTGATCCATTTTTAAATGTGACCCACCACCATTAGCACAACTTTTTTGTTTTAAAATTTACTTATTATGTGTACATTGTTCTGCCTGCATGTATGCCTGCAAGCCAGAAGAGGGCACCAGATCTCATCATAGATGGCTGTGAGCCACAATGTGGGTGCTGGGAATTGAACTCAGGACCTCTGGAAGAGGAGCCAGTGCTCTTAACCTCTGGGCCATCTCTCCAGTCTCACAACTTTTAAATTTTACCTAAATGCTTCTTAGTTCTACAGTTATCCTAATTCTGCTATGCTTATGTTAGAAAGTATGTTTTCAATTAGTGAAAAAAACATTCTTATTTGATTGACAGTGACTAAAGAAGGCCACACAGTATATTTCAATTACAGATATTAATACATAAGGAAAATATGCCTTTATTTTGCATTGTTTTGAACACTCTAGTTTTTAAAACATCTTAAAAAGATTTTTGAGATATAATTGCCAGAAGTATCCAACTATTCCATCACAATCTAATTTACAGCATCCCATCATCCAACCTATTTCCTGTCATTCTCCATGTCCTTCACGACCCCTAATTCTAAGCAAATACTAGTCTTTTGCATCTGTATATTTTACTTTTCTGGGCAATAGTCAATTGTCATATATACTGTTTTGGATGACTGGCTTTTTCCCCTTTCCATGTTTCCAAGATTCATTCATGCTGTATGGAACAGGTAACAATAACTCACCCTATCTAATACTGAGTAATATGCCACAGCTGATATGCCAAATTTGGTTACCATTTCATTTGTTCATTATGTACGGGACATTACACTTTTTGTACATCATGAAGAATGCTGCTACTAATATTCATGTACAAGTTTTATGTGACTATAATAGGTGAGGTCATATGATAACTCTACATTTGACACTGAAGAATTCTCACCAATTGTTTTCCGAAGTGGTTACATGATTTTATAATCTAACCAATAAAATATGGCAGCTCTAATTTCTTTCCATTTTGACAAATACTTGTCATTTTGGTGAGTGCGGTAACTGCTTAGGGAGTTGGAGCTTTTTAGAACGCGTGTGTACACGGTTGTTTGGGATAAAACACA